ACACTATGAATGAAAGCATAGACTAGCAGTTAGTAGCATATTTTTATTTAGTAAAATATTTAATCATTCCTACATAAATCCAGCCCATATATATCATGAAAAACAATGGTCTAAGACAATACAAAAGAATTCTGAACAATATAGTACTGAAAAAGGAGACATGAATGCTTTTCTGAATATGGGTATGATTCAAACAGACAAGTACAGATAAATCTATATGAATATTGCATCTGGTTCACTGAGTGGCTTATAATTTTGAAACTGTCACATTTCAGCAAATACATCAACACTTCTAGAAATCAAAAAGGAAGTATATTTCTAAGTTGCTTCTAGCTCCTATTAAGTTACCCATAACTGTACTTTAATAAAAAGTTAATTTTTAAAAACAAATTATTTTTAGTCATATTGCATTAAATTCTAAATGAAGAGAACTGATAACATAAGGCCAACACATATTTCAGACTGAATATGCATCACACATTGTATATATGTGCATGCATGTGCATGTATGTGCATATATAAACATATACTCATGCCTTATAATTGATAATCATGCCAAACCCATGGAATCTCATTACAGCCATAGGTCATGCTAATTATTTCCTTTGAGATGTGTTTTTCTTGAGGTCATTATATTCTACACATACAATAGACAGATTCTACATTTATAGGGCATCTTGTATTTTAATTTGGAAAAAATCTTGCAATTTTTTTTCCTAAAACCAGGATATGATTATCAAGTATCTGATCAGGTGATATATTATGTCAAGCTTGACTATGGTTTATTTAAAAAACAAAAATTATGCATTGTATGTGAATTATAAGTAGAGACAATGGCAGAAAACCAGTTTAATTAAGCTGTTATTAATCGAGTTAAATGGTTGTTTCAGATATTGTGTCATGATGGGAAATGAAACAGTGGTTCCAGAAATAAACCTTAACTTTCCTTTTTTACTTTTCCTTTTTCCTTCTTTCCACTAGAGCCATTTCCTTCTAGCCTAGTTTTTAAAGGAACTTCTTGAGGATCATTATATATAATGCATTTTCTAAAATTAACTAATAGTAGCAAAATGTTTTCACTCTAGGACACATATATATATTTTTAAGTAATGGCCTAATTTTGAAAGTCTAAATTTTAAGTCTCTAAGATTAGAAGTATATTTTTAAGGTAAATAGCATTATACATTCCTTCAGTTTACCAGAATATAGTGTATTTTTCACTTACTCAATTAACGAAATCTATACAACTACTCACTTGTAA